GTGTTTGCAATGAACAAGTTGTTGGTCTTGCAAAATTCTACCATACGAGTTCCAGCATTATTTCTGTCACCAAGGCCAAATTTTGCAACTACCGGTGATTCTTGTTTGTTTCCAACTTTTGCATTCCAGTCACCAGTGATAATTAACACAGTTATTAAGCATGTACTATGGCAACATTCTGTATGATATGAGCTCCCCAACTCACTGCTATTCGAGTTGTTTCTGACCCATAGCAGCCTTCTAGGACAGAGTAGAACTGCCCCATAGGGTTCCTAAGACTGTAATCTTTATGGAAACAAACTACCTCATCTTTCTCCCATGGAGCAGCTGCTGGGTTCAAAACACTGACCTTTTGGTTAGCAGCCAAACACTGCACTACCAGGGCTCCTAATAGGAGCTACTGTGGTGTAATGTTTAAAAGTAGGGTAAGAAGTGGAGTAGGAAAGCCTCCATTTAAACTCTTGTCCTAATCCTTATTAACTTTACGTTTCCCATGATTTTTTATCTAGGCAAATTCTCCTAGTTGGAAAATTAGTCATTCTTTGTTTATGTGATAAAGCTATTCTCTGTTTTCTGTTATAGCTTAAAACAAAACAAAACAAACTGAAAAACCAGAAATACTTGCCCATTCATTACAGTTGATGCCAGTGGTCAGCTGACTCCCAGGCAGATGAGTGAGCCCAACCAAGATCAGCGGAGCCTCCTGGCTGACCACCTATCTTACACAAAGACTCAACAGCTGTTCTCAAACCAATACCTCTTTCTGATTAAGTTAGAACTAGGTGTTTGAGTGTTTCTAACTATATGAAAGACTCAGGTGGAAAACACCAGCCCCAAAATCTAGGCTCAGCAGTGCCTTTCCGTTACCCGTGCATGTGGCTGTCACATACCAGGGAGCATGTCCTCACCATGCTCGTGCGGTGTCCAGCTGACCTCTCTGTAGCAGCTCTAAAGGTCAGGTTCCAAAGCAGGAAATCCTTAGTTCAGACTCCTGCTCTGCCATTACTAACATGGCAGCCCTTGGGCAGGTGCCCTAACCTTTCTTAGCTTTCATTTTTTTCTCTAAAATAACTGTGGGAACTCTGGTGGCATAGTGCCTAAGGCATTTGACTGCTAACCAGAAGGCTGGCAGTTCAGACCCACCAGCCACTCCTCGGAAGGAAGACTGGGCAACCTACTTCCACAGAGATGCAGCCTCAGAAACCCAAGGAGGGGTCGCTATGAGTCAGCTGTAGTATCTGCCGCATAGGGCTATTGGACAATCTAAAGAGACAGTGTCTGTTAAGCACCTCTCCTGAGGCTGGAAAGCAGTTGCTGTCCAGTCTGTTCTGATACACGGCCCCCCGCATGTGTCAGGTGACTGACGGTGCCTCATTTTTCAGAAGTAGATCACCAGGCACCTCTGAGTGGACATGAGCCTCCAGGCTTTCATGGTAACCTTGTGCGTCACCTAGGGACTCCTCCTGATGCCTAGTACCCAATAAATAGTAATGTTAACTGGAACCCCTGAATATGAGGGGCACCGACAAGAACACATACCCTACATTCAGGAAACGTTGATCTCCCTAGAGATGGCTGTTAAACTAAGAATGATCGCATTGCTTCCTGGTAACTGCTGTAGAGGAGACGTGATCCCAAGGGAAAGGAAGGCGGCGAATGACATCATCTGTGGACTCAGGGAGGCTTCCTTGGTTGCAGATGAGTCTGTGTTTCTGAGTCAAAAGCATTTATTTTGACTCAGCCTCTTTATTTATAGAAGTGTATCCTGAGAAAACAATTACATATTGTTAACTTTTTAAAAGCAGATTGCAAGATAGCAGCTTGGTGTGGTCCCATTTGGGGGGGGAAAAAAAAAAGATGCAACACCTAGAGAACAGTTTGAAAGGTTTGGCATCAAAATCACAGAAGTAACAGTCCTGGGTGGTGACACTGGAGGCGATGCAGCTGTCACATGTGGGGTCACTTTTCTCTTCTTCCAGTTTGTCTTCAGTGAGCATGCGTGACTTGCGGAGTTTATGTATATGTATATTATTATCTAGTGATAGGAAATATGCTGAAACTGGCATAAGATGGAGGCCAATTGGTCCAAACCTTTTGGAGGATAATTTACCATTCTGTCCAAAGTTATAAAAAAAATATGGGGCACATTTCATCCAATCATTTCCTGTCTGGAAACTGGCATGATGTATATCAGAATATTAACACTGATCATGTCTGGATAATAGATCAGACATATACTTCGGGTTTGTGTGTGCATGTGTGTGTGTGTTTCCAAGTTTTCAAAGGAAAGAACATGCAGTAAAGGACAAATATAGTTTTAACAAGAAATTAAGAACTCCTTGTAAGTTCCTACAGCTATCATTTTCTTGTCAAGTAAATGTACTACAGAGCTGCCACAGCCAAACATGTACCCCTGGTTGCCGCCCACACTTAGGCAAACGATAGGAGCTCGCATTTCGTATTCTCCATGGAGAATATTAGTAATACTTTAAGGGAATGGAGACTGGCTGACACGCAGAAAGTTTTCTTATGTGCCAGGACATTTAATCATACATACTGGACCATTAACAGAAACTATCCTGGAACATTCTGAAGTCAAATTTGTACGTAACATGGCAACATGGTTGCGCTGTGTATCTGTTAGTACATCTTCAGCTGGAATCCTGAGGCATGCTCAGTGGGAAGTGAGTGTGTTAGGTACACAGCCTCCCTCTGAGGTCAGGAGGCCAGTGTTTCAATGAGCCAGGCCACATTTATAAATCCCCATCATTACTGTCCCCTTTGCCATGCAGAGGTTACAGTGTTTTTCCAGCACTGCTGATAGAGACAAGAGGAGGGAAAAGAATAGAATGAGGCCCCCGGGTCCTTATCACCCACCTTCCACAGCTGCCTACATTTTGGTAATTTATTTCCTCTATCCCCACTACCTTTGTATTGAAATATTTCAAATAAATCTCAGATACCATGTCATTTTACCCATAACTACTTCATAACTTGTTGCTAACTAAAACACATTTTTTAAACAAGTCACTGTACCATTATCCCACCTAACAAAATTGACAAATAACCCCTTAATATCATCTAATATCCAGACCATATTTTAATTGACCCAGTTGTCTCAGCATGTCTTTTCACGGTTGGTGTTCTGGTTACCTCGTGCTGCTCTGACAGTAATATACCACAAATGGGATGGCCTTAACAAACAGAAGTTTATTCTCTTACAGTTTGGAGGCTTTAAGTCCAAGTTCAAAGTGCCAGGCTCTAGGGACTGGGTGAAAGCCCCTCAACCTTGGGCTTCAGCTATGCCTTCTATTCCTGGCCCACTGGAGCTAGAGGCTTTTCTTCACTCAGACAGCTGCTGGCTACTGAGGCTGACAAGCCCAAGGTTGACAAGTAAAACGGCACAGTCCTGATGTTACCAAACCACATGGCAGGCCATTAATTCAAGTCCATTGAAATTCCCAAGGTTGGCAGAGCATAGCAGGCTGCTGAACAATGACACAGCTACATGCAGGGTCCAAGCATGCCATAAGCTAGAGACTATCTCTAAGGCTTCTCCTCATATACAGGAAGCAGACCACATCCCAAAGACAGCTACTCAGCTGTTTGTGGTAGATCCCACCATGTAGGTGATTGGCAGTCTCATCATGGGGAATAACTACCACCAGCTGCCCAGCCACTCAACTAGGCCCAGCCAACTTGACACACAAACATAACCACCACAGTTGGTTTGAATCAAGATTCTAGTGAGGTCCAAATAGGGCATTCAATCATTGTATTTTTATGTTTCCAAATATTTTTGTATGTTTCAAAAAATTTTTTTGAAACTTTAGTCGTTCAGTGGATGTCATTGTATAGTTAGAATTTTTACTTTAGTCACTTTTTTCTCCTCCTCCCCCTCTTATCATCACCTATGTCATTATTTCTTTTAGCTAAACTCTATTACAGAGTTTGATCATCTTATTTATCAGACCTTCTCTCTGAGTAAAGGAGCTATGGTGGCACGTGGGTAAAGCACTCAGCTGCTAACCAAAAAGCTGGCAGTTTGAACCCACCAGCTGCTCTGCAGGAGGAAGACATGGCAGTCTGCTCCCGTGAAGGTTTATAGCCTTGAAAACCCTGTGAGGCAGTTCTGCTTTGTCCTCTAGGGTCACTAGGAGTCAGAATCCACTTGATGGCAGTGAGCTTTGGTATCTCCGAATAACTTCTGACTTTTTCCAAAAATTAAATCCTCCTCAGTGTCCAGATATTTTTCACCAGTGAGGTATTTGCATCTGCTCGGACAGTGCTGTAGTGTCTCCAGGTGGATTCAGAAGAATTGTGAAAGGTTTGGACAGTGGATCATGGAGTGATATTTTTAGGTGTGTCTCATTGGACCCACCCACTTCTCTTGGTGCAGAAATCAGAGACAACTATTATCCTTATCTCATTTGCGTGAACTGAGTGTATAAATACTTACCTGCTTGACTTGCCTGTTTTAACGGGCTGTCTGACCACTAAATGCAATTGATGTGTTTGTTTTCACACAGATAATCGCTTATCAGCCGTATGGCAAATCCGTGGACTGGTGGGCATATGGCGTCCTGTTATATGAAATGCTTGCTGGCCAGGTAATGTTTCACTTTACTTTCATGTTTGCTTATTGCTATATAATGTGACGACTTTTGCTCCATTTGGGCAGTGCTAGCAGGGCCTGACACTAGGTGTAGATGATGCTGGTCTTGACCTCCTGACCCAAGTGAAAAAGGGGAAGAATCCCCCCAGAGAGTGGATTATATTTAGTACGTACAGAAATTCTCTTGTAGTCATAAAAACCCTAAATTGAAAAACACAACCTGAGTGTAGACAATGTCGCTCTCACGTTACTCACCTTATGCACCAAAGTACCCAGCACATGACGACAACAGTGGCCTCTGTAAGTTTTCAGTGTCTCAAAACTGAGTTGGGTTATGACTCCCTGCAAGTCAGTCTACAGAAAGATACCCCAGCTACTGCTCATCTGTCTAATCAATGTTATTTTTCATGAGGGCAGTCAGTTTGACTTGAAGACTGTTTTAATGGCTTCTCCCCATCTCCCTCTGTTTCATTCTTGACAACTCACTGTAATTTTCTCAAAAGTCTGATGAGGCTGACCTTCTAGCTAAGGCAAGGCAAATTAAGTTTATCTTAGGAAAGTGACATACATATGATAGCTAAGTGCTTTCTTGGTCATATGATTACTTATGTAACAGTCTTAATAGCTGTACCATCAGGGCAAGCCACACTAGCTACTATAACAGCTAGTTATGCATAGCTTAACCCACAACACAGGTTTATTCCATAGTCATGATTTTATTCATGGTGTATTCCACTGTGTTTCGGTTACCTAGTGCCACTCTGACAAGAATATACCACGAATGGGATGGCCTTAACAAACAGGAGTTTATTCTTACAATTTGGAGGCTTTAAGTCTGAGTTCAAAGGGCCAGGCTCTAGGGGCTAGGTGAAGGCCCCTCAACCTTGGGCTTCAGCTCTGCCTCCTGCTCCCAGCCCACTGGAGCTAGAGGCTTTTCTTCACTCAGGCAGCTGCTGGCTGCTGAGGTTGACAAACCCAAGGTTGACAACTAAAAAGGCACGGTTCTGATGTTACCAAACCACACTGCAAGCCATTAATTCAAGTCCATTGTAAGTCCCAAGGTCGACAGAGCATGGCAGGCCTCTAAACAATGACATGGCTACATTCAGGGTTTAAGCATGCCCTAGCTATAGACTGTTCCCAAGGCTTCCCCTTATATACAGGAAGCAGACCACATCCCTAAGACAGCTACTCAGCTGCTCACAGTAGATTCCACCATGGAGTTGATTGCCGGTCTCATCATGGGGAATACTACATCCAGCTGCCCAGCCACTCAACCAGGCCCAGCCAAGCTGACACACAAACTTAACTACCACACACAGTTACCAGTATGTGGTGGTGAGGGGTGAGACATTGATCCATATGGCCATTCAAGGACCCAGGCTTCTTCCTTCCCTTGGATCCACTATCTTTAAGAGCCTCAGATTACTCCACTGAATTCTCCTGATTCAGTCAGCCAGTGAAGAAACAGCATGAGGGTAGTTGCACAGAATATTTTAGAGCTCAGGCATAGAAGTGGCCTATAACCCTCCTGCCTACATTCAACTAGCCACAGCAGCCCCACTGAGATGCAGAGAGGGCTGGGAAATACACTGTACCTATGTGCTCAGCAAGGGGAAGCAGATCTGGTGAGCAACTAGCCGAATTCTGCTGTGGAAAGCTTTGCATAATCCCAGCACTTAAGCATTAGTGCTAAGGAGTTTGTCCCTCCACAGCCTTAGGAAGAGACAGTGGAAGATAAGTGCCCACGTTGAGTCACAGAGCTACCCCCAAAGAAATCCTTTATCCTAGAGAAAAGCTAACCCGTGTTACATCTGCTGACTCATTCATGCATTCACTCAACACACATTTATTGAAAGCTTCCCATGTACATGTCTGTAGCAGTGAACAAAGCAGGCAAAAATCCTTCATGGAGATTTCCATCCAGAGAAGGGGAGAGATAATAGGCACGTTGAGTAAGGAAAATACATGTTACTGATAAGCTAAGAGGAAAAGTAATAAAGCCAGAAAAGAAGATGTGAAGTGTTGGGGGAGGGTTGAAATTTTAGGTAGGATGGCCTGGGAGAACCTCACGTTGAGGGTGATGATGGGTCAAGATCAGAAGGAAGCAAGGGAATGACCAGGTGGGTATCTGGGGAAGAGCATTCCAGGTAGAGAGAACAGCACGGGCAAAGGCCCTGAGGTGGGAGTGTGCTGGCCATGTCTGAGAAATGGAGAGGAGAGGAAGGTGAGAATGGGTGCACCACTTGAAGATGTGATCCATGTCACTGAAGCATGTGTGTAGAAATTGCTGAACTGTGTGTTCAACTGTGTATATTCTCAACAACAAATAAAAAGAAAGAAATACAGAGGAATTCCAGTATGGCTGGAACAGAGCGAGCTAGATGGGGGACTGGAAGCAGTAAGGTCTAGATGAAGGAGCCAAGCAGTGCCACATGGGCACAGAGGGAGGTCCACTGGCTTTCACTGTAGCATGAGAAGCCCTCTCCCCTGCTCCTCCTTCAGTATGTCTCATATCTTTTCAATAATAAAATAGTCTTTCAGATACTAAAAGGTATAAGGCAAGAGTCTGCATTTGGTCATTATTTCTCACCAGTGGTAAGACCTGACTGACATCAGAAAAGTGATTTATTACTTACTTTGGGTCCTCGCCCCCACCGTCTTAGGGCAAACACGGCAGTTTATAAACATGGGAAGGCAGGCTACGGAGAACCACTGCCAGTGAGGCAGCAGCTGGGAAATCACAAGTTCCTGGAGCCATTTCCCCTCTTTAGAATTTTGACGATAAAATTTGACTCTGAATCATTGGTCTGCCTGGGAGCCATGCTGTTCATGCAGGCGCAAAATGCCAAGTTCCCCTCCTCAGCCCCACTTGAATGTTCAGCTCTTAAGTCCAGAAAACAAACCCTGCTTTCATCGAAAGTCATATTTGCATATGCCAACAAATGAAATTAGTTGGGTGGAAACATGGGATCAGTTTCCAAGGGCATTTTACAGAGTTAAAATGAGTTTCTTTATTGGCAAGCAGGAGACTAGAATTTCAGGATGCAGGGCTGAAGGAAAGTCTTCCTGCCTCCCTCTCTCCGCCTTCCTTCCCCTCTAAGCCTTTCTGGAGCGTCATTCCCTAGAGGACAGCTCAGAGAATGTTCCAAGCCTGCAGGGAAGTCCCCCCTTGGAATGTATTTGGAAGTCCTGCCTCCTTTAGGAGGTCCCTGGGTGGTACAAATGTTTCAGGGCTCAGCTACTAACCAAGAGGTTAAAGGTTCAGTTTCACCCAGTGTTGCCTCAGGGAAAGGCCTGGCCATCTACTTCTGGAAGATCAGCCATTGGAAAGCCTGTGGGGCACAGTTCTACTCTGAAACACATGGAGTTGGAATCAAATCAGTGGCAGCTGGTTGGCTGGCTGGCTGGCTGGCTGGCTGGTTGGTTGGTTGGTTGGTTGGCTGGCTGGCTGGCGGGTTGGCTGGTTGGTTGGTTGGTTGGTTGGCCAGCCTTCCTTATGTGTCATTTGCAGGCCTGACTTAAAGGTTTCCTTACTTTCTCTGCACCTCACCCCAGCACTGGACCCAGGCTCTCCGCCCCCTAACCCTTTTCTGCCAGGGTTATTTATGCTTCGTCTTCATTCCTGATGAATCTGTAATGGGCACTTTATCCCAGGGCTTCCACCTTAATTGTCCTTGGATGCTCTTCCATCCCTCACTCCAGGCCATCATTCATCTGCAAATAAACCTCCCAGGGCCCCCCGAGGACCACTTCCTGTGTGAGCCACGTAGGGATGCTCTCCACATCCTGACATGTTCTCAGCTTTTTTCAACCTGCTTCCAAGAGTCAATTAGCTTGGCTTCTTCTAGATGTTTTCATAATCTCTATTGAAAACGGTGATACTCTTCAAAAGTGGTATTTTAAAGACACCCCGCATTCTGTACGTGACAGAAATGGGTAACAACAGCCTTTATGCTTCTAACTCTTCATAGCTCCTGCCAGAAACGCAGTATTTTCATTCAAAGCCTCAACTTTGCCTACCTTTCTGACTCTTCAGAGCAAATGTAGATACATTCCTGGGCTGTGAGTCAGCTCAGAAAGGACAAGGCTCCATGGGGTCATCGCTGGCCCTTCCAAGCTGCAGGGGCTACTGAGGCCCAGGCTGTAGAGACTTTTGTTATTGAAAAGTAAGATTAACTACAAAGTTGTTGTCAGGGTTGTGGTCTGAATTTGTCCTCTTTAATCACAGAGGCTGAAGATGAACAGAAAAAAATAGTTGATTGCAATTTTCTTCTCATTTGCTTTATTTATTGTCAGCAGCCAAGGGGCCAGTTAAGTGTAAACAGCCTGGGTCTATATTCAGCCCCTGGATGGCTTGATAAATATGATTACTTTCAGGGCATAAATAGTCTTTACCCAGCACTCTAATGAGCACATTGCTGCTTGGTGTGTTCATGGGTGTTCATCATAAAGGGGCCGGCCCTCCACTCTTTATGTCCTTTTCTGCCAGGGTTATTTATGCTTCGTCTTCATTCCTGATGAATCTGTAATGGGCACTTTATCCCAGGGCTTCCGCCTTAATTGTCTGTGGATGCTCTTCCATCCCTCACTCCAGGCCACCGTTCATCTGCAAATAAACCTCCCAGGGGCCCAAGGATCACTTACTGTGTAAGCGATATAGGACTCATTTTGTAAAGTCTGAACCATCACCCCTCAATGGTCTGCTTAAACCTCACAAAGTGCTTATCATTAAAGGGTGTGTGTGTGTGTGTGTGTGTGGCATATCCAGTTTAACACTTTTTGTACTAACCATGACTTTTGCTAACAGGTAGCTTAGCTTGGAACATTGAGTCCAGATTTGTCGAAATTTAAAAATCATCATGGGATCGGGTGGAAAGAGAGGACAAAAGGACAGATGCAATCCAGAATGGTCACGTACCAAGTGCCACCACCAGACATTACCCCTTATTGTCCCCAGGCTCATACACTGGCTGTAGAGGGAAAGGAAATGAA